TTTCTGTTTAGATCAGAATTAAACATAACCATCAATGTAATTCGAAGAATTTACACCGATAATCACGCTACATCGAAAAAAACGGTTGGTGCTGGATTTGAGAATAGGAAACCAAAAATTAAAACTTAAATTTGTTTCGACATACGTCGATAACAAACAAAATTCTAATCTGGTAACGGCAAAAGAAAGAAACTCAACACACGTCCGGGATAAACTGCATTCTTCGTCCATTTGTGATCGGCGCGCGCTCTCACCGCGGCTCGATGTTGTCCGCGCTGTCACCGCGGCTCGATCTTGGTGTGGAACTAATGAAGACAGCAACATCCTTGATGACTTGAGTAGATGAAGTCCTTCTTTGCCTTGGGTCTTGGGGTGGTTTTGATTATTATCGAGGAAATAAGCCTTTTCTTAGAAACTAAAAAAAGTTAGCTCTTTTTATTTCAGAGAAAAGCCAATTCGCTCGAGGTTTTGGATTCTACATTTGACAAAATAAGGGTTGAAAACTGGTTTCCAATCCTCAAATCATCGGCAGAGCACGTTGGTTCCATGCTGCCAAAGAAATTTTGTCAAACGTAGTTACTGAAAGGAAAATCTAGCGATGAGGGCAACCAATATAGCAATCGCCACAAGCACCGCTAAATTTCTTTCCAGGATTTGTCGTTGACAGCGAATTGAATCGACTGGCATTGACAAGGTTTTGGATTAGTAAGCGTTCGAAAGCAGATAGCACACAGGATGTGGCTCGAGTTTTAATACCAATGGTAATAAACTCTTACTCTACTTCGAAAACCGGTTTTGAGTTGACAGGAAAGCCTTGTTGAATCTTCAGCGAGTCGATTCGAGCTTCTTTGTAGTTGGCGTTGAATTGTCGACGAGGCTGATGGCTGGTTGCTTTTGATGGCGGTTACGTTGTTGTCGCCGCTGCGTTGAGGCTTGATAAACAACCTTTTACAAGGCCGCTTTTCTCCCAAAAAAGGGTAGAAAAGTGTTTTGGTTTAAAAAATATCCAAAGGTATAACACACGTGTGTGCAGCTCGAATTTTTGTACACTTGGTACACGAAACTCATGCTTTGACCTTGGAAATGTGAGAAATTGGTCCTGAAAGTTTAAGAATCGCACGCAAAAAGCGTGCCGCGAGCTTTTGTTCACGCATTGATGAAAACTACGCTCACTGATTCTCAAAGGAGCTGATTGATTCTACCGTGGCAGTAGAACCAGAGGGAAATTCAGTAAAATCTTACGACGCGGACAACCAATATAGCAATCGTCAGCAGCAATCGTAAGACTTGTCCTGATGAACTTATCTTCGAAGGCGAGAAAATGTCGCTCAACGTTGATAAATTCGTTTTGGTTATGAATACCGGCAAAGAGGGCAACCAATATAGCAATCGCCACGTTCAATGCCGAATTCTTGGCTTGGTTCAAACTTTCTGACATAAGGAAATAATATTTCCCCAGTTAACGGGCAATACGGAATTCATATTGTTGCCGAAAACTGATCAGAAAGTGGTTTTGGTTTAGAAAACGGCTTCAACGCTTTTACAAACGGAAGCGGGTGTTGGTATAAAGGCATTTCCAAAAGGTAAATACTACACGAGCGTGTAGCGCGAGCATTATCTCACACGTGGTGAAAGAATTCTCGCTTTACCTTGGAAAATGGACTTACCTGCCTATCATCTAGGAGTTGGCGAAGATGTCGACAATGAGCGGGAGGGGCTGGCTTTGCTTGCATCGTTGCACACTTCATGACGAGGAGTCGATCGCTCGTCGGAGCTTGCTTGTTCGGTTCCTTGCCTCCTCGCTCCATAAATTGAGTAGATGCTCGTAGATGTTTGGCAGATTGCTTTTCCAAAAAAGCATAAAGGGTGCTGGATATTTGAGGATCACACGCCGAAGCATGCCGCAAGCCTATTTTCGCACGTGGCGAAAGTTAGCTCGCTGATCTCCAAAGGTTTTGGTATTGAAACGGAATTTAGAGTGAACACTTGGTTCGTTTGCAAAAGAAAAAAGTGAAAAATGTGAGAAAAGTTAGAAAAGAGGGAGAAAAATTTGGGTAAGAAAGTTAGAAGTGAAAAAAAAATACGAAAAGAAAAGTGTATATACAGAAAAGAAGTTAGTTTTTTTGAAAAAAAAAAGAGATTAGAAAAGGGAAAAAGGGATTATGTACATTGGGGAAAGTTCCCAGGGAACGCGCCAACAATTTGCCATAACGAAAGATTTGAAAACAAAAAACTTTGGACTAAAATGCGCGCAAGTTTTGAATTTAACACTTGTTTTTTGACCAAAAAATGCGAATTGGGCGATGCGAACGACGCACGCTTGTATACAACACGGGGAAACTATACCTTACTTCTGCGAATGTCAATTCCAAAAGGTCCAGTGCCTCAACCTGCATGATTGCATGCAGGGCATCCCATCGTCACATCGTCGTCAGCAAGCTAGAGCTCGGTCGACGAGCGTAGACGAGAACACGCAGCTGATCCTTCTATTGGCCGGGTCTTGGAGTGTGCAGCACGTCCAGGACGGGGCGGCAGCCTTTTCAGGCGCCACATTGCGTTGGTTTGGTATTGGTTTGGTTCTGATTCAAAGCCGATTTTGACCGATAATGCATTGGGAAACTAGACTCGAATTCGTAACCCGAGACGCACCATGACAAAAGTAATAAAGTCTATCCCGCATTCTAGCCTCTACCAAAAGGATCACGGAGGACTAGAGTAGGGACTTGCCACACTTTATACTTCTGCCTTTGCCCCTTGGGCCCGTTCAGACTCTCCCGAACCTAGTATCCTCGACATAGGCCAAGAAAGATTCACGAACCCAAGAAGCCACAACAAGGAGATGAAGCTTGGATTGTTCAGTGGTAGAAATCTTGTAAAGAGTCCCAAATGCATTTCGGTACGATTGTCTAGAGACAAAAGGTTTATCGGCAATGAACAAAACTGAGATACAATTGTACTCATCGCTTGGTCACAAGGTTCTGGTTCAAAACATATTGCACAAAGCAATACAAAGGTTTTGGCTCAACTCTGACGATATTGGGCAGCATGGAGGCTTGCTCCCAGGAAACTACCCAAAAAGGGGCAATTCCCCCAAAAAGGCAATATACCCAGTAATCGGAGAGCGCGGCTCTCCGGGGGGGCGCCGGGGACTACGGTATCACAGGCAAGGGGCGCGGGATAGGAAACTCCCTTCGAACCTCTGCAATAAGCAGAAAGGTTTCGACACTAGTCTTGCGGTCAGATTTGCTACTTTACACAGGGGTACTATCTACAACGTAGGATTTTTGGCAAAGCCCCTCGAAACAGACGTCTACCACTTGGGTCAAGGGATTGAGCAAGCTTGGGATATCTGCACGGAAGGGCGCAAAAAACCGTGCCGGTAGATTGTTTTTCATCGGTTGCTGATTGCTAAGCTAGAGTTATATTGACCATCGGCTGCCAATGGCGAAAATTATGCGAAATGGCGGTTAGGCGAAATCAAAATTATGCGAAATGGTCGTTAGCTGAAATGAAAATTATGCGAAATGATCGTTATGCGAAATGACGGTTAGGCGAAATCACCGTTATGCGAAATAAGCGTTATACGAAATAAGCGTTATGCGAAATCACCGTTATGCGGAATAAAAATTATGCCAAATGCAATTATGCGAAATGGCGGTATGCGAAATGATAATTATGCGAAATGAATGGAAATCGATACCATAATGTCGAAATTCAAGATGTCGAAATTTCATAGCGTTGAAATTCGGCTTTTTTTATTTTTTTTGCATAGTAATTGGCGTTTTCCGGGAAACTAGCTTGTAAATTTCGGTATTAGTAATATAAATTAAAATTCTGGATTCCGACATTATGAAATTTCGGCATTTTGAAAGTAACCCAATTAATAATTTTAATAGTTGAAAGTCAATTTAACAGTTTGAAATTTAGGCCAAAAATATTTAAACTATATTTGCTTGCAGTTCTCTAAAAACAGTAAAAATTGAGCTTTTCCTTTCCTCAGCTCTCAAAATCCCCCGCCCGCGAAATCCTCAAAATTGGATGGGCCGCGCAAAAAAGTGCAGGGATGCGCGGCGTGGATGGATTCCCTATTACCCCCCACTCTGCCATTCTATTCCCTAACCATGCTCTGGACAACCTCGACTGTATTTTTCACCATTTTACTATTCACCGGGTATTTTCGGCTTTTCAAAACCTATATTATCATCCTAGAATTTATTGCGAAAATGCGGCAGAGGAGGGCCCGCTGATTAGCCCGGAAGTGCAACGGTAGGGAAAAAAACAATTGGGATTTTGGTATTTTAAAGTTAAAAAGTGTAATTTCTAGAAATAAAGGCTCTTTTCAGGCAATTAGAACTGGAAGCTGCGCCGAATCCGTTTCTCAACCCGCGCGTACATGTCACATTCCCAGGCGCCGGAAATGTCGACTTGGCCGGCCGGCTTGGTGAGCTTCGAAAATATTTAGGCATAAGGCAAAGCCTAGGCAAAGCCTAAGCCTAAGCAAAGCCTAAGCAAAGCCTAAGTCAAAGCCCAAAACTAAGCACGAGCATAAGCATACCTAGACCTGAGACTACGGCTAAACTGAGCCTAGGCCTAAACCCAAGCCTCACAAGGGAACCACCTCAGGTCGAGGTGGCGTTTGGGGATGGGACCAAGCCTATCTTGTGCAGAATTTTTTTGCTGATTTTTAACCCGTTTTCAATTTTTGCCAAATACTTAAAGGAGCGCTTAAAAACCGATTTTTATGTTCGGTTTTTCTGGAGCAATGCGGGATCCCGCCCCTTTTGTGGCCTTTCCGGAGCCCCTCCCTCATCGTCGTCTGGTGTAGTGGTAGTGTGCTAGGACTACCAGGCAGAAGGTCCGTGGTTCGTCTCCCGCCGCATGCAGTCTTTTTGCTTTTTGCTTCCTTGGACACGGCTACAGTAGCGCTTTATCTTCGGGACCATCCTCGAGTGTCGAGAGAGAAATTCGATGGAATTTCACCATTCCTACAAGCCTCCCCGATGGCTGCAGCCAGAGTCTTGGCGGCCCTAGTGGACGAATTGAAGCCCTGCCTCGCTCTTGTTCCTCTGAATAGGACCGAGATGAAAATGAAGTCAGCAATCACCGGTCTGCTGCGTCGCATGGAGGAGCCACACAGTTGGAGCTTCGAAGAGGAGGACGAGGATCTATACGAAGAAGATGAAGCGGATAATGATTTTCCTGTGTGGTCGACGGCTTCTGGGCCGATTACTGATGAAATACGCTTCGGGAAGAATCTCATCCCAGAGGCAGAGGTAAAAGCTTTATAATAGCCCTTTCAATATTTTTAGGTGAAAAAGGCCGTACAATTCTTTCGCTCCCCAAAGAAAGGAAGTCGACCTCTGCACGTCATGAACAAGTGCTTCCGCTGGATATCCAATGAGCATCACCTGACCACGCTCCGCGAATACCAGAAGGGCAAGAAAAACTACTCGCTTGAAGCGCGCCGCAAGCAGCTGCTTGATGTGTTAAAAGAGCAGGTGAAAGATGGCATGCAAAGAGGTAGCTTACTATCATTTGCCTTAATTTTGACCTAGGTATACAACTACACGACCTTGACCTTCGAGTTATGGCGTTGAAAATAAACCGCGAGCAGACCCAAATTCCCGGATTTACTGCCAGCCCAAGTTGGATTCTGAACTTCAAACGTTGGGCTGGTATCGTCAGTCGTCACATAACTTCTTTCGTCAGCACAAAAACCTTTCGCGACCAAGACAAGACACGCAATGAAGCAGACGCCGTCGTCAAGGATATTCGAAACCAGTTACAGGCGGGCACGATCACATTGGCGTCCCTCGCAAATGCAGATCAGGCCGGATTTGTCAAGGAAATGCATCCTGCTCGGTGTCTAGCAACCCGCGGAGCGAAAAAAGTGGTTTGTATCGTGCAGTCGAAAAATAGCTTGACGCATGCATACACTATAATGCCAATGACGTTCGCTGAAGGACGCCTCGCAGACAAGTTGTATGTAATACTGCCGGAAAAAGGTGGACGTTTTCCGACCCGGACCGCTCTCTTCCCCGCCGACAATCTGGTCATCCGAGCCTCCACCACACACATCATGAGCAAGGCCTTAATGCTTGATTGGTTCGAAGTTGTCGTCCTCGACCCGAATAACCCAGCGGACATAACTTTGCTTGTCGACTCGTGGCCGACCTTCAACGATAGCGCCGCCATACAGGCCCTGGTCCCTCCTGGCAAAACGCTCACGCTCAAGAAAATACCTCCAGGAGCGACGTGTTTGATTCAACCCTTGGACGTCTTCTTTTTTCGGCCATTTAAGATGTTCGTCAAGATACTGCACAATCACATCCTGGTGTTTGATTTGCCCTTCTCAATCCAAACAAGGAACAACTTGCTGAAAGTTCTATCACAAGTCTACCACCAATTCAAGGCGCCCCGATTTCAAGACATGCTGCGCTACGCCTGGAGTAAGGCCGGTTACACCGATCGGGCGGTGCCCCATTTTGAGACACCGGCGGATTATTGCTGCCCCGGCACCTTCTCTGGAATGTGTTCCACCACCGGTTGCCAAGGGCTAGCCTTCATCCGCTGTGCCTACTGCAATGAGGAATTTTGTTTTATGGATTTTATCGATAATGTGCACCGTTGTTGATTGTTGTTTTCGTTGCTGTTTTAACAAAAAAAAACAAAAAGTTACTGATTCGTCCTGAAATTATTATATAGCCGTAATTTGTATTGGTAATTAAAACAGAGCGGGCAAAAAGCAAAAAGACTGCATGCGGCGGGAGACGAACCAGGGACCTTCTGCCTGGTAGTCCTAGCACACTACCGCTACACCAGACGACGATGAGGGAGGGGCTCCGGGAAGGCCACAAAAGGGGCGGGATCCCGCATTGCTCCAGAAAAACCGAACATAAAAATCGGTTTTTAAGCGCTCCTTTAAGTATTTGGCAAAAATTGAAAACGGGTTAAAAATCAGCAAAAAATTCTGCACAAGATAGGCTTGGTCCCATCCCCAAACGCCACCTCGACCTGAGGTGGTTCCCTTGTCAGTCCAAGCCATAAGCGAACCCAAGCTTAGCCTAAGCCTAGCCTAAGCCCCAGCCCAAACCCTAAGCCTAAGTTGGCCCTAAACCTAAGCCTATGCCTAAATTTAAGCCTAAGCCTACGCCTAAGCCAAGCCTAAATTTAAGCCTAAGCCTAAGCCTAAGCCAAGCCTGAGCTTATTCGATTTAAGCTTGCAAAGCTGGCCCCAAAAGCTTAACCCCCTACTTTCCAGGACTCCCTTGGTATACAAATGACGAGGGGTTGGCCGGAAAAATCTACGAGCAAGTCCCACATTCGGAATGGCCGGGCACCTATCGACGCCTGTTTGAAGCCCTTCCGCCCGGATTCATCTGGAACGGGCTTGGGCGATGAGGGAAAGCTACTGCAATTTAAAAAAAAATTGAATAAATATATTGATTTCAAAACCGTACAGTATGCCAATTTAAACATTCTTTTTCCAAGGATTTTTTCAACATTTTTGCTACGAAATCGACAATTTTGTCTTAAATTATTTATTACGCCAGTAAATGCGCGGGTGATGATTCATGTTCTTATCAAGCTGGAAAACCCTCTAAAATGAGACAATAATTCGGGCTCCTGCGTGTATCTATTTCGAGCAGCGCAAGCGAGTCGTATCTCGTGGAAAAATGGCTCCTCGGTTCCGTCATTTTTCTCGCCGGTATTTAGCCTGACAGCAGGGCCGGAAATGCACAGTTTTATCTCAAATTTTTGCATTTTCCCTTACTTCACACCATTTTTATTAAATAATTTATTTCTACGCTTAATTGGTTTTAGATTTGACATTTTCCATCTGTGAAAAAATACGCGCCATAATTGTATTTTTCTTAATGATTGTTTATGGTTTTAGAAATGGAGACGGAAAAGCAAAAGTTCTTCAACTGTCTGCCACTTGCGGTGAGTATGCATTTTGGGTTAGCAGGCTAGCAGTGTTCATTGAGGAAATCGAGGTTTGGCTAGCAGAGATCATTGAGGAAGGGGAGGGCAGACTAGCAGAGATCATTGAGGAAGCGAGGGCAGGCTAGCAGAGATCATTGAGGAAGCGAGGGTAGGCTAGCAGAGATCATTGAGGAAGGGGAGGGCAGACTAGCAGAGATCATTGAGGAAGCGAGGGCAGGCTAGCAGAGATCATTGAGGAAGCGAGGGTAGGCTAGCAGAGATCATTGAGGAAGGGGAGGGCAGACTAGCAGAGATCATTGAGGAAGTGAGGGCAGGCTAGCAGAGAACATTGAGGAAGTGAGGGCAGGCTAGCAGAGATCATTGAGGAAGCGAGGGCAGGCTAGCAGAGATCATTGAGGAAGCGAGGGCAGGCTAGCAGAGATCATTGAGGGAAGGGGAGGGCAGACTAGCAGAGATCATTGAGGAAGTGAGGGCAGGCTAGCAGAGATCATTGAGGAGATGATGGGCTGGCTAGCAGAGATCATTGAGCAAGCGAAGGCAGGCTAGCAAAGATCAAGGAAGCGAAGGCAGGCTAGCAGAGATCATTGAGGAAGCGAGGGCAGTCTAGCAGGGATTCTTTGGGAAATAAATTCCACCACCATTTTCAGTGGTCCGTCTACACCTCCACTTCCATCTTCTGGGCCGCCCAGCTCACGCTATCGATTTTGTTCGTCACGCAGGGCGTGAGTTGTAGTGATCTGTACACAACGCTCCTCCGTACAGTATTATCCGATACTGGGGGCAATTCTTTTATGCTTCATCTTCATAATTATTTCTATCATCGGCACGATGCGGCAGAATACGTGCATGCTGTGGTTGTATCTCATTTATGCGGTAAGTGTTTTTAAAGGGACTGGAAGGCAACTAGCAACGCGCCGCAACACGCAACGCGGAAGTCAGTCTCGATAAGGAATCGATGTCGACAACAAAACAGCCTTTTCTCAAGCCAATTTCCCCAAAAATCGCTGCCAGCTTGCCCTGTTTCAGATCTTGGTATGCCTTGGCCTCGGCGGCATCTTCTTTTGGATGCTCTACATTGTCATACGAGGCAATGCCAATCTATTCCATACCTATTGCGAGGAAAATACGAAAAGTGATAGCTGCAATGCAAGTGAGTGATTGACTATCGTTTAACAAAAACACCTTTTTTTCAGCAGCTCGGAAAATTGGGGGCCTGGCGCTGGGAATGGCAGTCGTGTGCCTGGCTTCCGGTGGCTATGCTTTGAAATGTGTGCATGCTTACATTGCCCATGTTGAGAAGAAGCCGAAGAAGATACGACAAGAAACGTGAGTAGCAGAGATCATTGTGGAGACGGTGGCAGGCTAGCAGAGATCATTGAGGTGACTCGGGCAGGCTAGCAGAGGTCATTGAAGAATTCTAGGGCAGGCTAGCAGAGAGCATTTAGGAAGTGAGGGCAGGCTAGAAGAGGTCATTAAAGAATTCGAAGGCAGGCTAGCAGAGAGCATTAAGGAATTGAGGGCAGGCTAATGAAGATCATCCTCAATTTTTCTTTTCAGCTGCTCCTCCCTCCCACCTCCAGCTCCAGGCCTAATGCCTGCTCAAACTGGCATGAACGTTGTGATGGTAGGCTTAAAAGACTAATTTTTATGCAAATTTTACCTCAGCTTCAACCCCAACCAATCGGCTATCCGATGAATGTGATGTACACCGCGCAGCAACCTGGCATCGGCTACGTACAGTAAGTTTCTAGCGATTTTTCAAGGGGATCTGGACGTTTTTGCATAGCGTAATCGGTTGGCTTTCGGCAAATTTTACAGTTACACGAGGTCGGAACGCCGGAGAATACGGGAGAAATCCCCACATTTTAGGGCTCCCATCATTCAGCCGGTTCGTCCTGTCGAACAACCCGTACCTCCTCCGCCTCGTAGTCTCTTCCTTGAGGTATGTAAACTTCGAATTAGCACCTATAACCGGAACTCGGGCTTTCCAATCTTGGAAAAGATTTTAGAAAATCATTTTTGGATTTTTTTAGTTTCTCCTACGTCTCTTCATCCGCCCCGCCCAGCCCAACGATCCGCAAAACAGCCAGCAAAGGCTCCTTGGCGCGGCCTAGCCACCGAAACTACAAACTTTGAGGCCGATCGCGGCCAAAATGATCTCTATTATGTTGAAATTAGAAATGACTGACATTGCCGTTTCTTTCATTAATGTATTCAATTACAGCCAAACGGGTAGCAAAAAAAAAATCGATGAACATTGTTGGAAGCTAGAAAATAAGGCAGCAAAAAGCATGAAGATGCCAAAACACATGCCCGATCGTTTTTCGCTTCTCTATTTCACGGTATTTCTCTCCCTCTCTATCTCGCTCGCTCTCTCTCTCTCGCTCTCTCTCTCTCTCTCTCTCTCTCTCTCTCTCTCTCTCTCTCTCCCTCCCTCCTTCCTCTCCTTCCTCGCTCCCTCGCTCGCTCCCTCGCTCTCTCTCCCTCCCCACTCTCTCACTCTTTCACTCCTCCTCTCTCTCTTACTCTTTCTCCCTCTCACTCCCTCTACCTTTCTCTCTCTTTCTATCTTTCTCTCTCTCGCTCTCTCTCTCGCTCTCTCACTCTCTCTCGAATTCTCGCTCGCTCTCTCTTGCTCTCTCTCTCTCGCGCTCTCTCTTTCTCCTGCTCATTAACTCCACTATACTCCTAAAGACGAACTGAACTTGATTACCCGCAAGATTCGTCAATTTCACAAGAGACCCAGGCGGTCATGACGTCTTCAGCTGTACCGTTTTTTGATTAGGGGATGAATCAGCATGGGGATGGGAGGGTGGAAATGGCCGCCTTATCAACACCCCTCAAAAAGCCCCTAAAATCCAAAAAAAGTGGAAGAGAATGGCAAAGGGGTGAGCCCGGGTTCGATTCCGATAACCCCGAGTTTGGCCATTGCTTTTGTCATTTTTCCATTTTTTGGGCCGATTTCCGTTATACTCCACTTTACATGTAGTTATTTTTTGTTTTACAACCTTTTGGTCAAAGAGCAAAAAGCCAGGCAAGGTGAGGGAATCGAACCCGGGTCCCTTGCCTGGTTGGCGAGAGCTTTACCAATCGGCCATGAGTGGAATTCCGCGGAAGAAGTCGTAATATTTTTTATTTTTCAGCTTGACAAACATGAGCCGACAAAAGTGGTGCTGCTGCTTGCCGCTTTCGGTAAGTCAATTAAAGAGACGCAGGCTAGCAGGGATTCTTTGTGGAATTCGAAAAGGAAGGCAGGCTAGCAAAGTTTCTTGGCCGAATCAAAGGGACGGGGCAGGCTAGCAGAAATCTTTTAGGAAGTGAACATGGCAGGCTAGCAAAACACTTTAGAAAACCGCCCATTTCAGTGGTCCGTCTACGCGTCGACGTTCATCTGCTGGGTGACGCAGCTCGCGCTGTCGATTCTATTTATTACACAGGGCGTAAGTAATGCCAATCTGTACGTAATGCTCCTCCTTACAGTCCTACCCGAGCTACGGTACCATCGGCGTTTGCTGTATGTTCTTCATCATCGCCATTGTTGGCATTCTGCGTCAAAATACGTGCATGCTGCGTTTTTATCAGATTTATACGGTGGGTGGAGTGTATGTTGGAGGGGTGGGTGGGTAGCAGAGATCATTGAGGAAGCGAGGGTAGGCTAGCAGAGGTCATTGAGGAAGCGAGGGTAGGCTAGCAGAGGTCATCGAGGAAGCGAGGGTAGGCTAGCAGAGGTCATCGAGGAAGCGAGGGTAGGCTAGCAGAGATCATTGAGGAAGAGAGGGCAGCTAGCAGAGATCATTTAGGAAATGAGGCAGGCTAGCAGAGATCATGAAGGAAGAGAGGGCAGGCTAGCAGGGATTCCTCGGGAATCAAGGAGTTTTCCTGACGGCAGGAAGTCTCTCTCGCCTGTCGCAGCCGAGTTCCCCAAAAAACCACCGCTAGCCTGCCCCTTTTAGACGTTGCTGCTCATCGGCCTGATCGGCATCATCGGCTGGATGTGCTACATCACTGTCCGGGGGGATGACAATGTTTTTTATGATAACTGCGTCGCTGATAAGTACTATGACAATGGATGCAAAGGAGGTTGGTTTTATAGATTTTTCTATTTCCGAGGCAAACAAGTTAATTTTCTTCAGACGCCCGGCGCATCGCCATCCTGGCCATCATCTTCGCGCTGGTCGGGCTGGCCGCGGTGATGACGGCATTAAGAAGTGTTCATACTTATATTGACTATATTGTGATGAAGCGGATGGCGCGGCCGGATCCGTGAGTTTTTAAAGGGGCTTAGAAGTGATAGGAAGGAAAAGGAGAGCGGGTTAGCAGAGATGTCCGGGGAAACGAGGGCAGGCTAGCAGGGATCTTTGAGGAAGCGAGGACAGGCTAGCAGAGATCAGTGAGGAAGCGAGGGCAGGCTGGCGGAGATCTTGTGCGAAATTTCCCTCTTTCCAGCTGTTGCCAAGCCCCGCCCCCAGCCCCACTTCCACAACCCGGAATGAACGTCAATGTGGTGGTAAGTGAATATTGATAGTGATACCTAGGGTAATCCTGGGCCGAAAACACCGAATTATAATGCCGATTTTCCGATTTCTTTCAGGTTCAACCCCAGACCGGCGGCTATCCGGTCAGCTATGTTTACGCCGCCCAGACGGGAGTACACTATCAACAGTAAGCCTTCAAAATTGCGGTGTCGCTCTCGCTCTCTGTCTCTGTCTCTCTCGTGATGTCTCTCTCTATCTCTCTCTCTCTCTCTCTCTCTCTGTCGCTCTCTCTCCTCTACTCTCTCGCTCACGCTCTCACCCACAGCAATATTCAAATACGTACCTAATTTAGACAACCAACCGTCCCACCGGCCTACCAACCAGTCTATCCGACGTATCCGGCTCAGACTCCTGGCGGTAAATCAATAGTGCTCATAAGGCCCTTGTTTTTAGCCTCAGCCTCCGCCCCTCCTCCACCGTATCCAAACCTTGGCGAGCCGGGCAAATATTGATTTTTGTGAAGCATTGGTGTTTTCAGTGTATCAACGCACTAATGAAAAGTTGTGATGTATTTTCTGCAAAAACGGGTAGTTGATAATAAAATACTTGCCTTAAAATTCCGTCATTTGCAATGCGAGAGAAAGAGAGAGAGAGATAGAGAGAGAGAGAGAGAGAGAGAGAGAGAGAGAAAGAGAGCGAAAGAGAGAGAGCGAAAGAGAGAGAGAGATGCTAAGATCGAAAATTACAAAAGAACTACACCCCGATTTGAATGGCGGCTAATTTGTGGGCCCTTGAGGTGGGGCAGGGCCCATTTTGGCCCCAAAAACTGGCGCTAAACATGGCTAAAATCGATACTATGGAAAATAATATATTTGCTACCGTATTCCTAGAAGAAATCAGTAAATATGGCGATCGCGTGGCGCTGGTAAGCTAGCAGAGATTCTCCTTGCAGAACCGAGGTCATGCTAGCAGAGATCATTGAGGAAGCGGGGGCAAGCTAACATATACCATTGCGGAAGTGCGAGCAGGCTAGCAGAGATCATTAGAGAAGCTTCCAGATTGACCCCGAATCAGGCGCCAAGTTTCGATTTTCCGACCTCGAGCCCTCGGTGCTAAAATGCAGACAAAACCTGGAAAAATTATCTGGATACGGTAGGTACTGATCGGTTTTTAGAAAATAATTTCCAGCCGCGACCTGGGCGACGTTTCTGGGGAATTCGGTGGAATATTTGGTATTTACGCTGGCTGCAAATTTGATGGGTATCGCCATGTGTCCGTTGAATCCTGCGCTAAAGACATGTGAGTTGAGCGAGAGAGAGAGAGAGAGAGAGCGAGAGTAAGGAAGACAGAGACAGAGAGAGAGAGACAGAGAGAGAGAAGGAAATCCAAATAATTCCAGATGAAATCCAAAAATATGCCCACCAGGCAGGTGTCCAGAGGATTGTTGTGGAGAAGAGGCATAAGGAAAAAATGGGCCTGATTTTAGAAGTGTTTGAACAGAAGGTGGGGTTTAAAGGAATTTAACAGCTGTGAAAGCCGGGCAGGCTAGCAGAGATCATTGTGGAAACGAGGGCAGGCTAGCAGAGTTCTTTGAGTTGCAACGTTCTAAAGTTTTTTCAGGACATTGTTAACCTAGAAGACCTGATGCTAGAAGCCGTCCGTGAAGCGGAAGTGGAAAATTCCGTAGCTCGGAAGCCCGGATCGGCCGGGAAAGCCGTAAATTGTTTCTTAGTCATTGACACTTGAACCTAGGCCCAAATATTTTTCTCGTCTGGCACTTCCGGTCCTCCAAAGGCGGTGGAGCTGAGCAACAGGTCACTGAATGGGCTGGTTGAGCAGATTAGGTAAGCCTAAGAGTAAACCTGGGCCTAAGCCCCGGCCAAGCCTGCGTCTAAGCCCAAATCCTAAGCCTAAGCAAAACCCAAGCCAAGCATACGCCTAAGTCTAGCTAAGCCTAAACCCAAGCCTACGCAAACGAGCCCTACCCAAGCCTAGCCTAAGCAAACCCTAAGCCAAGCCTAATCCAAGCCTAAGCCTAGAAGCCCAAGCTAGCCTAAGCCTAAACCTAAGCCTAAACCTTCAGAGCCACCTCCAACGAGTCCTCCCGTTGGCCCCTAGTAGGTGCAGATGACGTCGTTCACGGTGTTCTGCCCTTCTTCCATGCTGGTGGCCTGTTGACACTCTATACGATGCTCCTCCAGGGGGCTACCGTAGTCCTTAACGACCGCTTTGATCCTCAACAATTTCTAGCGACAATTGAGGCTTATAAGGTAGTTTTCTTCTCTCTTTCTCTCTCTCTATCCCTCTCTCTCTTTCTCACTTTCTCTGTCTAATTTCAGGTTACCGTCATCAACGTCGTACCCCCGATCCTCTCCTTCCTCGCCACGTCGCCGCTTCTCAAAGAATTCGACCTCGAATCCCTGAGGATGATTTATGTAGATTTTTCTAGATTTTTTAGTTTTTATTTTTATTAAATGCATTAAGTAGCTTTAAATAATCGATATTTTCAGGTGGGTGCTGCTCGAGTTGCTCCCGATTTGATCGCAAAAACGCGGGACGCCTTCAGCCAGCCGGTCCAGGTCGTACAGTGTACGGTAGTTTGGGGGTAATTTTAAGAATTCGAAGCTTCAGCCCAAACTTAGGCTTAGACCTAAGCCTAAGCATAAGCCTTGGCGAAGCCTAACGTAAGCCTAAACCTAAGCCTAGACCTACACCAAGCCTAAACCTGAGTCCAAGCCTAAGCGATGCCTAAACCTAAGCCCAAGCCCAAGTCTAAGCCTAAGCCTCAGAAAGCTTACCCAGAAAGCTGACATTACAGTATACGGCATGACGGAGGCCGGACTACTAATTTTCATGACCCCACCCGACAACGATAGGCTCGATTCCGTGGGACTACCCCTGCCAGGGGTGGAATACAAGGTAAGGCTTAACTTATAATTTAAATCGTATATCTTTTTTAGCAAATTAATGTAAGTTTTTGCAAATTCAACTCTCAGATCCTCGACCCGTCCGGAAATGCGGTAGATGTCGACATTCCGGGCGAGCTGTACCTCCGGACGCCTTGCCTTTTAGCTGGCTACCGTAATGGGGAGAAGCTGGATTTCTTGAGGTGAAAATTTCTGGATGATCTTTACTAGCCTACTCTCTCCTTCCTCAATGATCTTTGCTAGCTTGCCCTCGAGTCCTCAATGATCTCTGCTAGCATCACTAAACCTCTCCCTGTCATTTTTCCTTTAAAGTCCGGACGGCTGGTTTCCGAGCGGTGACCTTGCTCGAGTCGACGGCGATGGATTCATCTCCATTGTCGGCCGAACAAAGGAGATGATCAAAGTGCGCGGCTGGCAGGTACGGTATTTTTGGGTTACTGTAGTTTCTATGTTACGCTAGTTTACAATACATCCAATTTTCTGGTGCAAATTGCCATTTTTAATTCCCATATTTCCAGGTGTCCCCCTACGAGCTGGAAGAGGCCATAAAAACCAATATTTTTGGTGTTGAAGACGTGGCGATCATAGGTGTAGAAGTTGAAGAAGGGCTGAGAAAATCTGGATGCACCACGGCGGCTACCTTACCCCAATCGATTGGCCAGCGCCCGTACGCTTTCGTGGTGGGACCCGAGTGTGATGCGGAGGCTGTGAAGAGATTTGTGGAAGGTGAGCGTTGGTCAGATAAGTTTAAGTCGGAGCTTAAGCCCAAGCTAAGCCCAAGCTTAAACCTCCGCCTAACCCTGAGCCTAAACCTGCGCACCAAGCCTAACCCTAACCTGAACCGAAGCCTAACCCTAAGCCGAAGCCTAAGCCTGATTCTGAGCCTATGCCTAAGCCTAAGCAACCCTTCCAGAAAACTTCGTCTCCTACAAGCACCTGGCTGGGGTCTCGATTGTTGACGAGCTGCCAAGGACGGCTTCCGGGAAGTTGTGCCGTCACAAATTGCTTAAATTTCCTCGCTCGATAGACGAATAAAGTACATTTTTTAGAAATAAATGTTTTTAAAGTTCTCAAAAATCTCCGCTATTTGGCGAGAGAAAGAGAGAGACGGAGAAAGAGAGAGAGCGAGAGAGAGTGAGTGAGTGAGAGAGACGGAGAGACGACAGCAAGACAGACGAATTTATTCAACACTTAAAAGGGACACTTGCTGTCGGGAACCTGCGAAGGGCACGTCTGCTGTTGGAAGCACTATAATGAAAAAATATAGTAATCAGGATCCCTAAATATCTTTGCTAGCCTGCCCTCCTTAAAAAAACTCACATTACAAAGCTGGGAGATTCCGTCAATTTGAGGGTACAGCATAGGCACCACGAAGCTGGTCAGGACGAACTGGAGGAGGGGGCCCATCTCATCTTTATCGTCACACTAAAGGAGGTTAGAAAGCTACGCTCAAGCTCAGCTCAAGTCTAAGCCCAAGCTAGCTTAATCGATGACTTACCGGCAACTGTATCCCCACCAGCGGCGCGATCAGCTTGCACACCTTCATCACCACGTCCAGTAACGCGTTGAAGATCTGAGAAAATTATCTGTAGCGAGAGAGAGAGCGAGAAAGAGAGAGAGCCAGAGAGAGAGAGGGAGAGAGGGAGAGACGGAGAGAGCCAGTTTTTCCCTGCCAAAAACCAGCCTACTTACCCCTTCCGTAAATAACGACTGCGTCAGGAATTCCGTAAGCTGTAAAAACGAAATTTCCGCACTTTTTAAAACCACCTACCGTACCACAGAGAGCACACTCTGGCGGGAATGGACTATCTCGAATATGTGGACCTGCGCCGACAATTCCGCAACCGTCTTTTGGATCCACGCGGAATGCTAGCGTTTTTAGGACGGATTTGGACAAGAGTTGGCCGTGCGAGAGCTGGAAATAGGTTAATAAAACTTTTAAGCTAATTTTAAAGGCCGTGAGAAGCCAAATCCACATATCGCGGAAAGCGAATTTGAAAATTTCCTATTTTTTTAAACTCCTTTTGGTCCGAATTTTTGGATGGTTAAAGCATTATATAAACTACAAGTCCAAAAAATTTGAAAAAAATCTAAACTAAGCCATCTTTAGCAAAAAATACTGCGCTTTTAATTTTTTTAGGGTATAACTTCTTTGTTTCATATTATTTTGATCTGAAATTTTGAAGGTATATGGTGTTTTACATTTTAAATTTGTGATAAAATTCGATTTGATGCTAATCTAAGAAAGGTATAGCAAAAAGGCGGCTTACCCTCGCCTGCACCTCCGCCTCGCACATTTTCAGGTCGGGACGCGCGGAGCATAGCGTAGTCAAAGCTTCGCGTAGGTCCTCATAGAGCTTTTCCTAAGAGTATGCTAATTTGGTATAATTTTTGACACCGACCATCTCTAGGGCAACCTCAGAAGTATATGTACAAAGTCCAGAAGCGGGAATCGGCCTCGGGGTGCTGCAAATCGAGGAGCAGTCGCCGAATTCGGAGGCCTGGAAACGGGGTAGCTAAGAGAAATTTTTTGGGAAGAAAAAGAGAAAGAGAGAGCGAGAGAGAGCGAGAAAGAGAGAGAGAGTGGGGGATCGAACCACTTTTACCCACCTTGATCGTCAAATACCTCGTCATCCGATCAGCCGCCTTCTCGGCCACCGAAAATTTCAAAGTTTGCAAATCTCGGTTAAACTAAACCCACAATTCCACAAAATTCCGGCCGGCCTTGAGCGTGGAGCTGCTGGCAGGCAGCTTGAAGTTTGGAGTGAAGCTGAAAGGAGGTTTCGAGCGACTTCTTTTTCAGCCTGTACATTTTTGCCTAGCTGAGCCCTCTAAAATCGCAAAATTGTCGATTTTGATGGTTCAACCTTCAAAATAATCTATAAAATACCTTATGCTAATTACTTGTTAGAAAGCGTCAAAGTGAGCCTCTCGCAGCCTAGCCTAGTCGATTTTGCCTTGCCGATCCCTTTAAAAATTGCAACAGCTGGTTTTTAAGTGTATTCCTCGTAAAATCAACTAAAAATAATTTCCAAAAGTCTTTATCCTACGTTTAAGTCGTATATTGATTCTTAACCTTTACAAACATTTTAAACCAACATTGTTTTTGAAATCCATGCCCACCGATTGTTGACTGAATTGGCAAAGCGAGCAGCCGGTAAACTAAACAGAAAAATAGATATGAACGATTTCAGGATTTTCTAGAGCACCTACCGCCTGCCCGACGACATCAAGAAGCTCGTGTTGGCTTGAAAGGCCTGGAAAATTAGTTTGAAAGAATTTCGGTTATTTTCCTACCGATTAAAGCCAGAAAAAACAGCGCTTTGCCCGTCATTTTGGTCGAAATTCTTCGGGCTGCCAAATTCTCTTATCGAATCTGGATGGCGGCTTCATCGGAGTCTCTGCCCTTTCCCACTAAAGATAAACACGTAAAAATCGATGGATGGATCCGGAAGGTCCTAATTTGCATAAAATTGAAAAAACGTGAAAACCATGAAAGGTAAAATAATCCTAAGCAACCTCTGCTAATTTTCCACGACTTCCGCATTGAAATCTGCTAGCCTGCCCTCACTTCAGCAATGATATCTGCAAGTCATCCCCAGGGCAAACTAGCAGAGATCATTTGCACTCAGGTCCCACCAAGATTTCAGCCCGTTTGAAATCCAGCCGAGTTCATTCTCCCCTCCCGGCGCACACCGGATGTTTACCCAACCGAATTTATTAGGGGAGGGTGGTGGGGGGCAGTCTTGCGCGCGTTTTGCCACACACAACCAAATTGCGGCCCGGGGTTTGGCAACGAAGTTCGCAGACTAAACGGCGCGCGCCTTTGTCATACTTACCCGGGCGTATAACTTTAAAGGAACTGTGAAGGCAGAGTCCCTGGCCTGAATTTCGTTCCTCAGGAATCGCTGCTAGTTGTTTTTAGTTTAAGATAGGGATATCTACTTTAAAGGGATAGGCCTGACGCTAAGCCTAAGCCTGAATCTAAGCCTAATCCTAAGCCTAAGCCAAGCTTAAGCCAAGCTTCAATCAAAGCGAACCCTAAGTCTAAGCCAAGCCCAACCCTGAGCCGAAGCCAAGCATAAGCCAAGCATAACAAGGAGACGTTTTTTAGTGTGAATGGAGTTTCGAGACAAAACTAGGCTTATTTTGTGCAGAATTTTGCGCTGATTCCGAAACTGTTTTCCATTTCTGCTAAATAGCTCGATTTAAAAAGTTACAGCAATTTTAAGGTCATTTTAGCCCAAAATTTCCCATCTTTAAGGCCCGTTATGTTGCTTTTCCCGCCTGATTTTCCAAAAATAAGTTTTGTCATCGTATTCAGAAATTTTTTCTCTATCAAATAAGCCCCTTAACTCAAAATTGTCAAAAAATGAAAAATTTGACGATCTTGGTATGCCCTCCGTCTTTTGTATGGGAAATGGTGAAAAACAGCCTATTTCTCACCCCTGTAAGTGATTGTCGGTCGGAAGTAGCGTACTAATTAAATATACCATTCGAATCAGAAAAAAAATTCTCTACAAGATAGGCTACTTAAAATAAATTGGAACATTAAAACAAAAAAGTAGCAAATCATGGCATATGGCTAATCGGGGCCTAAAAATGATCTTAAATTTGCTGTAACTTTTTAAATCGAGCTATTTAGCAGAAATGGAAAATAGTTTCGGAATCAGCGCAAAATTCTGCACAAAATAGGCCTGGTTTTGTCTGGAAACTCCATTCACACCAAAAAAACGTCTCCTTGTAAGTCGAGTCTCAAGCCCATTTCCCAAGTAATCTCTGCTAGCTAGCCCCTTTTGTTATCAACCACCGAAAGGCCAGGGCGATCTTAGCCTCTTGAAGAATGCCACCTCATAGATTTCCTAAATAATCTCGGCTACCTGGCCCATCGTACGTTGTTGTCTCATGTATCGTTGTCGAATTGGGGGGTGTTCCACCTAGTGGAATGGGGGAAATGGGATTTAGTACGGGAGGGCAATCCTAAAAGGTGGACCCAACTACTAGAGCTGCCCTGCCCTCCCTCACCTAATCTAATAGACAGCATCCATTCCAAATCTTGGACTTTCGGTCAGCACAAACAATTCTGAAGATGGGAAGGATTGCTCAGCATTCTCTGCTAGTTTTCCCTGAAAAATTTTGTGTCACTGTCCCTTTAAAAGAGGCTGTCTCTTTGTCTCTCTAGTATTTTTCTCTTGCTTTATCTCGCTCCCTCTGTTTTGCTCGCTTCTCGCTCTTTCTCCAGCTTCTCGCTTTCTCTAGCTTTCTCTCGCCTTCTCTTTTTCTCTCTCTTGCTTTCTCTCTCTCTCTCTCTCTCTCTCTCTCTCTCTCTCGCTCTCACTCTTTCTCTCTCGTTCTCTCTCACTCGCTCTCACTCTTTCTTTCTCGTTCTCTCTCACTCGCTCTCACTCTTTCTCTCTCGTTCTCTCTCTCTCTCACTCTCTCTCTCACTCTCTCTCTCTCACTTTCTCTCTCTCTCCCCAAAATCTTGGTAACTCCCATTACCGAGTCATACCCGACCCCCCGAATGGCCCGTTTCCGGGCTGCAGAGGAACCTGTCAGCCAGCCTCTGGAGTCGGATTTTACTCACTACCCTATCATACTCCATACCCGTCCTTCTTCCTCTATTTTTCCTATTCCATACTATGGATGATACTGTAGAGCCTACTGTAGCGATGCTACGCACCACACAATATGAATCGATCGCCCTGTCGCCGTCGTTGTACTCGCGAAGGTCGAACAGGTCTGGTTTATGGAATATAGGATTTATGGGGGCATGCTAGCAGGGATCATTGAGGAAGCGGATTCTATTCAGAATTTTTGGTCGTTTTTAACGATTTTTTATCCTTTTTTCAGATCCTCCCGCTCTGTCTCTCGATCTCCAAGTATTTGCACTGAACTCCCCGATCTCCGCGACGTCGCTGGGGTGGAGGAGGTGATTTTGAGCACGATGTTTAGCACAATTTATAAAGCTAAAAACTGCAACGAAAATAGCGCTTTAACAGAATCTATAGCTCTTTTTTGTGGTGTGGGTG